TTCATCATATGAGTGACCTGTACAAAGGGATAGAGTGTGCCCTTAGCAAGGTTGCTGATGACACAAAACTGGGAGGAGTAGCTGACATACCAGAAGGCACCCAGTGTGACCTGGACAGGCTCTAGAGCTGGGCAGAGAGAAACCTGAGGAAATTCAACAAAGCCAAGTGTAGCGTACTGCACCTAGGAAGGAATAACCTCATGTATCAGTATAGATTAGGGACTGAGCAGGTGTGAAGCAGCTCTGTGGAAAAAGAGCTGGGAGCTCTGGTGGATAACAGGATGACCACAAGCCAGCAACATGCCCTTGAGGCCAAGAAAGCCAATGGTATCCTGAGGTGCATTAAGAAGAATGTGCCCAGCAGGTCGAGGCAGGTTATCCTCCCCCCATACTCTGCCCAGGTGAGACCTTACATGGAGTACTGTGTCCAGTACTGGGTTCCCCAGTTCAAAAAAGACAGGCAACTGCTGGATTGGGTACAGTAAAGGGCTACAAAGATGATTAGCAGACTACATCATCTCTCTTAGGAGGAAAGATGGAGGGACTTGTGTCTTTTTGGTCTGAAGAAGAGCAGACTGAGGGGGGGATCTTATAAATGCTTATAAATACTTAACAGGTTGGTGTAAGGAGGATGGAACCAGTCTTTTTTCAGTGGCACCCAGTGGCAGGACAAGAAGTAATGGGCAGAAACTTGAACATAGGAAGTTCTATCTAAACATGAGGAAGAACTTCTTTGCCTTGAGGATGGCAGAACACCAGAACAGGCTGTCCTGAGTGTTGTGGTTGTGGAGTCTCCATCTCTAGAGAAATTAAAACTGACCTGGATGCCATCCAGTGCAATATGCTCTAGGTGAACCTGCTCTGGCAGGGGGATTGGAGTAGATGATCTCCAGAGGTCCCTTCCAACCCCTAACATTCTGTGATTCTGTGATTAGGGTCCTCACTGTAGTTACATACATCACACTGATGATATAATTTTAGGATATATGTATGTTTATGTAAGCAAGAAAACAGAGACTTAATCTTCCCTTAGTTCCTGTTCTTCAATGTATCCCAAGCTAAAAGCCAGGAGTTTTCTATTCTAAGCTTTGGATACAAGTTTTGGAATGAAAAACTTGCTCATTTTCCTTTACTCAGTTTTCAGAAAAGACACATTTGATGCAAATATGAGAGATCAAATGATTAGCCATCCATAAGTCCTTACTAAGTGTCTACAAGCATTGATTCAGTACCATACCCCTTGAAGCAAAAAGGAAGACAAAAGTAATTGAAACTCAGAGGAATTTCTGTTTTTTTAAATTAGTTTAAAAATGCGACTAGTGTATTTGTAAGTATTATACATAACACAGATGTGTTTTTAGACAGAAAACATAGAAGTTTTTTATAAAAAATAAAAATTTAATTAATTAATTAATTAAAATTAAAATATAAGTGTGGTTTTTTTTTAACTAAAACTCCCTCCATGCACATACATAAACATTAATTGAGCCAATAAATTCAGTTTCAATGTGAAAAATTAAAGCAATTTATTTGAAAAATATCAAAGCGGACATTTTTAATTTTAACAGTTTTCTATCTTCCTGTTTTTCAGTAAAATTAATTTTGAGAACAATAGTGCCAGATTTAGTGAATCATATTGATTTTGATGAAACTTCATATTTCAGTTCTATCAGCTCCTTTCATCCAAATGCATTTCTGTTATGATGTGCATAAATTGTAGTTAATTTCAGTATATCACGGTGAAGTTTCTGAAAAAAATAAATAAATCTGTTTATAATCATACCATTTAAACGAAAAATACACTGATAAACTATAACAGACTGGTATACTATTTTTAGTCAGCTTGTCCAGAATTGATGAAAAGAAACTTACAGTGCAAAACTGTGTTAAAATAAGTCTGAATATTCATGGATACTTCAATTAATATTCTTTGTGGATAGTTCCACGTCTTTATGTGTGATTTGTTTACAGAATAGAATGGAAACAATGGTATGAGCTACATGAAATTTTCCATTTCATATGTAATAATAGCTAAATGGTTTTACCAAAGAAATACGAATACAATAATTTTGAAATACAATAAAAGTAGTGTTCTGGAAATCAATTTTGCATTATCTGAGACTGTGGGAATCAAACCCCTTGAGAATCATGCTGTAGAGAAAGTTGTCTGGAAGTGCAAGTCTCTTCTTCTAAAATTGCTTTGTAGTAATGACTATTAGATATATGTTTTGGTCATACTATTGTATATTTTCTTGCTAGTGAGTTCAAAACCAATTTCTGCTAAACATTTGGGTTTTTTTAAAAAAGTTAATGTTAATAAATCTAGCATTTCACATGCCTGTTTGTTTTTGTGCTACTTGCTCCAATTTGTCAATGTCTTTTATGCATTGGTAAGCCCAGAACTGGACCCAGCACTCTAGATGTGGTTTCACCAGTAATGACTAGAGAAGGATCCCTTCCCTTGACTTGTTGGCAACTCTTTTCAGAATTCATCCTGGGGTGCTGTTTAACTTCTTTGCTGCAGACAGATTACTGTCTTCTGTCTAACTTGAGGAGCCCCTAGATTCTTTTCTGAAAAGCTGCTTCCCAGCTAGTCTGTCCACAGCATGTACTGGTTCTCTGGCACAGAATTTGAACTTTATTGGACTCCATGACGTTTCTGCCAGCCTGTGACCAAAGAAATTAGCAGAAGCTAATTTACAGGCATCATCATAAATGACAAATGTCCCATAACTGAAATTAAGCCCACAGAGTTGACTCTTCCTCCTTTGGTGTAATCTTTGTTTCTGCATATGTGATTGACTAATAATAAATTCAGTTTCAATGTGAAAAATTAAAGCAATTTATTTGAAAAATATCAAAGCGGACATTTTTAATTTTAACAGTTTTCTATCTTCCTGTTTTTCAGTAAAATTAATTTTGAGAACAATAGTGCCAGATTTAGTGAATCATATTGATTTTGATGAAACTTCATATTTGAGCCAATAAATTCAGTTTCAATGTGAAAAATTAAAGCAATTTATTTGAAAAATATCAAAGCGGACATTTTTAATTTTAACAGTTTTCTATCTTCCTGTTTTTCAGTAAAATTAATTTTGAGAACAATAGTGCCAGATTTAGTGAATCATATTGATTTTGATGAAACTTCATATTTCAGTTCTATCAGCTCCTTTCATCCAAATGCATTTCTGTTATGATGTGCATAAATTGTAGTTAATTTCAGTATATCACGGTGAAGTTTCTGAAAAAAATAAATAAATCTGTTTATAATCATACCATTTAAACGAAAAATACACTGATAAACTATAACAGACTGGTATACTATTTTTAGTCAGCTTGTCCAGAATTGATGAAAAGAAACTTACAGTGCAAAACTGTGTTAAAATAAGTCTGAATATTCATGGATACTTCAATTAATATTCTTTGTGGATAGTTCCACGTCTTTATGTGTGATTTGTTTACAGAATAGAATGGAAACAATGGTATGAGCTACATGAAATTTTCCATTTCATATGTAATAATAGCTAAATGGTTTTACCAAAGAAATACGAATACAATAATTTTGAAATACAATAAAAGTAGTGTTCTGGAAATCAATTTTGCATTATCTGAGACTGTGGGAATCAAACCCCTTGAGAATCATGCTGTAGAGAAAGTTGTCTGGAAGTGCAAGTCTCTTCTTCTAAAATTGCTTTGTAGTAATGACTATTAGATATATGTTTTGGTCATACTATTGTATATTTTCTTGCTAGTGAGTTCAAAACCAATTTCTGCTAAACATTTGGGTTTTTTTAAAAAAGTTAATGTTAATAAATCTAGCATTTCACATGCCTGTTTGTTTTTGTGCTACTTGCTCCAATTTGTCAATGTCTTTTATGCATTGGTAAGCCCAGAACTGGACCCAGCACTCTAGATGTGGTTTCACCAGTAATGACTAGAGAAGGATCCCTTCCCTTGACTTGTTGGCAACTCTTTTCAGAATTCATCCTGGGGTGCTGTTTAACTTCTTTGCTGCAGACAGATTACTGTCTTCTGTCTAACTTGAGGAGCCCCTAGATTCTTTTCTGAAAAGCTGCTTCCCAGCTAGTCTGTCCACAGCATGTACTGGTTCTCTGGCACAGAATTTGAACTTTATTGGACTCCATGACGTTTCTGCCAGCCTGTGACCAAAGAAATTAGCAGAAGCTAATTTACAGGCATCATCATAAATGACAAATGTCCCATAACTGAAATTAAGCCCACAGAGTTGACTCTTCCTCCTTTGGTGTAATCTTTGTTTCTGCATATGTGATTGACTAATTTTTACTAACTTTGTGATGGTGATGAGTAATAACAAACAGAAATTTAGGATCACTCCATTTTGGTTTTATTTCTATACTGTAGTAAAAACAATAATTATCTTTCAGTTTACAGACAAGTACTAGGTAAGACACACGTGAACATTATTGTATATGATTGATATGTGTCAAGTAGGCAAACATAGGTTTTTTGAGATTTGTCAAATAAGAAAGTTTAGCTTTTGGGTAGTTTGAAGACATATGGCATATTTTAATTCAGAAATTAACTTTTCTTAAAAAGGAAATTACATCTTCTTCAGTGGGGTATCATTTCCCATTCTTTAAGTAGCTGTTTAAACAGTTATAATGTATGAGAAAACACTAGCATTTTGGCAATGTACCTTTTTGCTAGGAATGTAATTTAAGTTGGATTAATTCTTCATTAATATAATAGTTGGTTTAATATTTATTATTTTAATTTCTTTGTATCTTCAAGTAAATCCATAGTCTAGCAGCATATAGCACTCTTATGTATACATATATTTATATATAAAAAAATACAGACAACTAAAGCCAGATTATTTTGATTGTAGAAAAGCTTTGTATTTTCAGAAAATCTACCATGCCCCATCTTTCCTGAAAATAATGGCTACACCCAGCTTTTCCTCTTGCTAGAACAATCTAATCCTGATCTTTCATTTGTTTGTCTTCTTTCCATCACAGGAGTCATCAGGACTGCCTTGCACAACATGGACAGGGAAGCCAGAGAGCATTATTCTGTTGTCATTCAAGCCAAAGACATGGCTGGGCAGGTCGGAGGGCTGTCGGGATCAACAACTGTAAATATCACACTTACTGATGTCAACGACAATCCACCCAGATTTCCTCAGAGTATGTACAATTTCAGCATATATTTGAATTGAAAATAATATTGATTTTCAGAGAAGTAAGAAGCTGTTGGTATTCAAATTCTTGGGTAAAAGACCACTAGAGAAGTATTTGGATTCATAAATATTGTTTAGTTTTCCAGTATTTTCAGATGAAGCACAGAGGTCGCATAGCTAGGCAAGTGCAACCAGTTAAGATTTATTTCAATTAAAAACTCAGGAAGAGTGAGATGAGTGAAAAAGGAATACTCTTGTGTTACATGGGTTATTCTCTAGTCCTTCTTTGAATGTCTGTTGAAATTAGTGTGTCATTCTGATCCCACAAGTGAATAGCATTGTTCTCGTGGTAGATAACAACAAAAGGCAACGCAGTAAAACATTGAAGCCAGCATGCTTTTACTGCTTCCATACACATCTATCATTTTTTTACTTGTTTCTTTCTCGTGCCCATGCAAAATTTTAATATCACTTTTAACATTACAGATGGTAAAATCCTAAGCTGTTTCTCACTGTTGAGCTACGCTGGAGTCCGTCTTTATTTCAGTTAAAAGAATTGTCAATGTTGATGTCAAACTGAACATTCTGACACGCATTTAGGAAAAGTATATGCTAGAATACTCTTAAAATAACTTAATATAACCATTTATAGGAAGTTCATTTCTATCCAACTCATTGTTAGTACATTGATGTGACACAGCAAATGGAGTCTTGTAGGAATTCTGAATTCAGATGAAAATACATTTTTAAGTCTTCTGGAATATAATTGCACAGCTAAACCTGCTTTCCTTTGCAGATTGGCTCAAGGCCAGTAAGAATATTGTGATCTGGAATCAGATATGACATGAGCCCTTATAGAACATAATGGGCTAGCAGCTATTAGTACATTTACCAGAAAAGGCATTAAGCTGTTTGAATGTGGTTTATGAACAATAATAGAGAACACAAAACTCTGAGGAAGAACAAATCTCCCTGGCAATACACATTATGTAAAAACTGGTGAAGTAGTACAAAGACTTGTCAAAAATGTTGTTGAAATTATTTTTTTTAATTTGTGTCACAAACACATAAAAATATAAAGCCTTTGGAACAGAGCCTTAAGTAAAGTATGTTTGGTTTTACATTCTACCAAATTATCATTGCATCCATCACTCTATTTAATACTTTCTAATTATTGGAAATCAGAAGGTAAGGCATATCTGTGAAGAAACATGACATCTAAAATAGTTAACATGGAAAAAAATGTCCTAAATTTTGTGCAAATTCAGAGGCAAATGGATCCTTAATTATCAGGTTTCAAGAACTGGCCTCTTTTCTTCTGACTGGGAGATTTAGAATATTAGGCTGACTGGCAGGCAGAACGGTACATTAACACATATTTTTCTCAATCTGGATTGGAAGAAATACAAAATGTTCATATTCTATATGTTTTAATGGATTTTAATTATTGCAAAAAATAACATTATAAACCACAGAACAGCGTTTCATGAATTTCATTAATTTCATGAGATTAATGAATTCTCATATTTTAACAAAAATATATATATTTTAACATTTAATATTTTTAACATAAAAGATTAATCCTAGAATAAGTTTATTAGAATACAAACATTTGCTTTATCTTTCCAAACACAGAGTTTGTATACCACAGCTATTACTGTAGCATTGCTTTTTTTCCTCCTTTTCAACAAGTATAATTCAAACCCGTTGTGGAAGAATGGTAGCTATGTGTTAATAATACAAAACAGAAGTATAGATTATAGGAAATCAGTCCATCTTAGCATCATAAACTATTACAGTAATGCACAAGTACTGCACTAACAGAAATAATGACATTGTTTATTTTTCTTATCCTTTCTTTGTATGCCATGGTTTTCAGTTAAATTGCTGTTCAATTTCCTTATTAGACAAAATGCTAAGTGAGACTTACTGAGGCTTGTCACATGCAGAACTGAATTCAAGGGAAGTGCTAACCAAAACTTCATATATCAAGTGTATAACTCTTTGGACAGGCTGAGACTCATCTAAACCTCAGACTCTCTTTTGGTTAGTTTCCTTTTCTCCATTGCCATACTTGTGAGTTCTGAATCTGACTCTGTCTAACTGTATGAGTACTTTATTTGAGAACATACTGGGAAGCACATCTGATTGATGTTTTTATTATTTTTTTTTACTGTAGATATAAGATCTTTCTGGCTTTGATAGACCAGTATTCACTGGGGATATGTATGGAGTATGGTATGCAAGATTGGTCCCCTTTAAAGAAACACTTTGAAAATCTACTCAGAAGTAGAAGTTGTAACTTAAATTAATTTACTGTGTTTTTTTTCTGTACTCACTCTAAACATAGATGACTTTCTTTCAAAGAAATTACTAAAAGAAGAGCTACAGTTTTCCAAACGATAAAAAAATCTCTGAGGAAGAATATGAAACATTACTGCATAATTTTATCAGTCTGATGGTTGCCATTCTGAAAGAAGTGATAATAATACTCTCTGGAATAGGAAACATAGCTGAAAAACTCTGCTTGCAAAACACAGTAGTTTATCCCAAGAGTAGGCACAGAATTGTGAATTCGGGAGAATAACCTGAAACCTCAGCTACATTTTGCCTATCAATTACTTCAGTGGATCTTGTACTGATTTATTTTGTTACTCCTTTTCTTTTTCATTACCACAGATTTCCTTTCTTTAGAGAGTCCAGTTATAAATGATTAATCTTTTTAATATAAGGTGACTGTTTTTTCCATGGGAAGATTTTTGCTGTTCAATAATCAGCATCTCTCAGTTCTTATTAGTTTTACCACTGATGGATCCACTTAGTTGATGGCTGAGGGCCCTGATTTCATAGTCATCAATTTACTACAGTAATCTGATGGAAAATATTCCATCTACTGATGACACTTAACAGACTTGAGTTTCATCAGAATTTGTTGTATACTTTTCTTTCACTAATTCTCTCTGGTCTTGTAGAATGAATAGATTCTACATGTTTTGCTTTGTTTAGAATGAATAGATTCTGATTGCATCAAGATCATCACATTAGGCAGATGCTTCCACTGGTAAGTTTTGTACATCAAGTACTAATGATTACACCCTGGACAATGTGTAGGAGATCTTTAGTTATTATATTTAGAGTCTAATTTTACAAGGAAATTATTTCCCTGATACCACATTTGTAGATTTTGATTTTTGATACCTCTAGGTTAGTTCTTTAGGGTAAGTTGGAATTTAAATACAAGTAATGGCTTAAACCATTTTTATAAACCTTGACTGCTGAGCCTTGTTTTTTTCAGGGCAATATATAGACACAGTGTGAAGCTATGTTTATGCATAAATAGTTTGGCCTCACTTTTTACTATATCATTGTATGAAAAGTACAGAGCCATGTTTGAATAGGAATGTTGTATGAAAATACTTCAGTTAGTTCTGAAAAAGTATGCTCACATCCCAGAAGTACACATTAACACTATTCTTTGCTAGTAAGGTGTCTACTATTCAGCCTTGTTATTATAACTCATTAGTTAATTAAGTGCAAAGGTATCTGTTAATTTTATTTTAGAATTTATACTCAGATATGGTCCATTCCATTTCCTCGGTTCCATTTCTAGTTCCTACAATCCTCATAAGTAACAGTCAGCATCCTCTCACTCCCACTGCTATGCACTGTATTGCTGTCCCATCTTCGAGTGACCAGTTCAGAACTATCTGCCTGCTGATTGATCATTTGCTGCTACCAAATGAGACGAGTAAAGCAGAGTTTTCTCTGACTTTCTTTTAGCAGGTCTTTCTCCTCTGTTCAACCAGAGGCTTACAGAATCCACAATGCCTCCCTTTTGTTAGATTTAACTGAAATTGATCAAGGGTTAAAAGTTATTGGGGAGAACTGAATTACAATGATTACAGAAATTTTATGTTCTCAGAAAACACAGGTTAAAAAAAAAAAAAAAAAGGTCTTGATAACTGATTTGGCTTAAGATTGCTGACATCTGGTTAACTGCACCTTGGTAAATTAGATTTTGTTCATACCTAATTTCTCATTCATTGTGTTATTTATGTGATGATGATGAGTCCAGCAATGATCCAGCGTTCAGGTAGTACTAGAAGTATTTCATTCTGGAAAGTGTTCTACATTGGAATGTTGCTTATTTAATAAGAATTTTAAAAATTATAATTACAGGAATGCCTTTTTTCGTATGTCACACCACAACATTTACTAACTTTGGCACTATTTCCAATAGCTACTAGCTGTAACATACTAATGGTAAAATGTGCTGCAATTGAATAGCCCCAAGGATAAGTTATTATGGAAGAGATTCTTAAGTCTTTTAGTAAGTCCTTAAATTAGGGTTGAAGGACATTTAGAAATTTGATTTAAAGCCAGATTTGCACAGAATCAAAATATCTCAGTTGAGGCGAGCAGCTCCAGAGCCAGCATGATCCGAAGTGGAGCGCTCCAGCACAGTGCACAGGGGGATTTCCCAAACAGGGGAATCATCAGGGGGAGTTGACAGACCTGCCAGGAGCCCAAAGCTCACATGAGAGCAGTTGATGAGACCTGGATGGGTCCAGGGGAAACTGAAGCCAAATCCAGCCCCCCATGTTTAAAAAAAGCCCTTAGAGAGTGCCAGCAACCAGGGCAGGAAAACAGGGCATGGTGCCTCAGAAAAGGTGTGGCATGAAAGTTGGCACAGAAGGGCTCACAGGGTGGACACTGAAGCTCTACCAGCTAGACCAAGGAGTGATGACATCTACTCAGCAGAAAGCCATGATCTCCCTAAACTCTGCACCCACCATGACTGATGCAGCTTCCCAGACAGAACCCCAGTGGGAACACGCAGCCATGCAGGTGTCAGGCTGCAGGCTGTGCCCAGCTCTCATGCCAGTATAGGATGGCAGCAGTGAGCACATCTGTGGAAGGTGTCCCCAGGTAAAGGACTCTTCTGCTTAATGACGGAGCTCCGGGAGGAGGTGAGTAGGTTAAGGAGTATCAGGGACTGCGAGAGAG